GGCTTCACCCCTGAGCCGGGGAGGCTCACGCTACGCTGAAAAGGACTGATCTTGTCTGTTAACCTCTGCCGTTAACCAGCCCTCGTAACTCTGTCTTCCCCTCCCAGCTACCTTTACTGAAGTTCCCAAAGATGTGACTGTTAGGGAGGGAGATGATATTGAGATGCCTTGTGCTTTCCGAGCCAGCGGATCCACCTCTTACTCCTTGGAAATCCAGTGGTGGTACCTTAAAGAACCAGCCAGAGAACTTGCACACGAACTAGCCATCAGTGTCCCCGGCAGCAGGAGCAAGGTAATACAGTGCTATGGAGATGTATCTATTCATCGAGTGCAGCGTGCTCAGAGGGTGATGAAAATAAACTCGGCAGTCCCAGAGAGGAGAGCTCTTCCTCCACCCAGTGCCAGCGAGTGGTGGGAAGCACTGGCATCCCTGGGCCCTCCTTGGGACAGAGGAGGACGGGGCGTGCACTATGGAGGACTTCACCTCAGGAAAAAATATTGGTGCTGTAAGGATTGTAAATAGAAAATGATAAGTGCCCCACTGCAAAATCGACAATGAGGACCCGGGAGAGGCAGTTGAAAATAGCTGTAGTCTGAAGCAGGGACAAGCGAAAACCAGTGCTTCTGTGAGCTGAGCTAGGAATCCTCGTAAAAGCTGGGAGAGCCCCTGTTTGCTCTCTGGTAGAGCAGAGAAAGGCATGAAGGATATACCTCTCTCTGTGGTGTGTTAAGTACATATCAATCTGCATATACAAATGCACAGTTCCTTGGGGTGCCTGTACACACCTGTGTCCGTATCTGGAGCTCAGCAAGACATTTTCACACAGCTGGATGAAGTAATTGAAATGCATGAAGTGGAGTTAAATATTGTGTGTCCTTTCCCCTCCCCCTAGCAAGCCGCCTGGCGTGAGAGTAGGCTCTAGTATAAATTTTTCAGCTGCATTTTCCCAACATAAGCCAGTTCATTCTGCAGCCTCCCCCACCCAGTGCAAGACATTTTGCTGGTGCCAAACGGGGCTGTACAAGGAGTGGGGCGAAGCAGGATTTCCAGGCTGTGTTACTCTCCTGCGTCGAGCACGTCATCCTCCCCAGCCCCCTGGCCCCCGTGCCGGCAGGGTGCCCCGCAGCAGCCTCCGTGCCCGTGCCAGCTCCCCTCTCTGTGGCACGCTTGTTTTCCTGCAGAGCTCAAATAGAGATGCAAAGCATATAGACTCTGAGCTAATGCGATGCCGCCTAGCTGGGGAAAGTGTAAGTCAGTTGTCAGACAGGGAAATAAATCGCTCGGATTTAAATGTCTTCTTTAACCTTATGTAAAAACCGTGAGTTGTTTTTACAATAAACGATGACAGGGCATGCCTGGAGAATGATGACCGTCTCCCTGGGAGGCGCATCAGCGAGATCTGAGGCATCACTTAGGTTTACAGTAGTTGGCTGGAGACGAAAAAAATAACCAAGTACAAAACCTGCTGAGCGATACCTGCTCCCAGGATGTTTTGGGACCAAAGCTCTGCCTGGAGCAGTGTGGGATGCAGCCTGCCCAAGCACTTCGCCACTGTGCTAACGCTGCTGGTAAAACGCCTTCCCCGGTGTTTGTCAGTGACCGCGAGCGGCACAGCGTGCGGCAGGCGTTTCTTTGGCTGCTGTTGGCGCCCGTGGTGAAGGCAGCGCTTCCGAGGGCAGTGCAGGAGCTTTGCCAGCACGGTCCCCCGGGCTGAGCAGCGCCGTGCTGCCTGCCCCGTGGCTGGGGGACAGCCCCCGGCCACACACACGGGCTGCGGGGGCGGCACGCGGA